TCAAAGGAAAAAGGGTCAGCTGATAGCCACAAGATGCACACTTAGGCGACAAAGGTAGAACAGCACTGGGCTTTTTTTCTACAAAAAATGTTGAACCTAGTGCTGTTCTACCTTTATCGCCTTAGCGTGCATCTCGTGGCTGTCAGCTGACCCTTTTTCCTATGATTTATCTGAATTTCATTTAGGCTGTCTTCCTTCCGGTGGGGGCTCCCATATTAAATCGAGAGGGTGATTGTCGAAAATTTTGGAAACAACCCCTAAAATTAGTTTTGTGGGTGTGGCCCAAATTCATTTTCACTGCTAAATGGTACCAATCTTAAAACAACTCGTTAATGTTAAGTGACATTTTCACCATTTCATTACAGCAATAAAGAATATCACAAAATTTGACTGGCAATTGGTTCCTGTCACACTTCCCTGCTCAGCACAGTAAACGCTACCGCGATAACTCTACCAGTGGTCATCCTTGATTTTAGCACCCTAAGAGGTATCAATTGACAAATTTGACCCCCTAAAAGGTATGATGATCACCCCCGGCCATCGCTTTTATATGGGCATCTTCCCCCCGCCTGGGTCTTCCTTGCCATTTTCCCTGTACAGGAACGAAAACGAACCTTTCACACATCTTGATCCCTCTCTCAGCGAGATCCTTATCGTAGTATTTATGCCAAATGACGTGTATGTGGCAATTATCAGCTAACCGTTCAAGAACAGCTTTAAAGCCGGCCCGAATGTCAAATGAAGTTTTTCCAGCTGCGTTCTCCCAACAATCTATGGTGATGAGCTCCAGCGGATATGAAGATGGCAGTCTAGGTTCACCAGTGCTTTTGTCTTCAATACAGGTTTTGCGCCAGTACTTTACAAGACGGATTAAGTTTTTCACAATCGGTGGTTGATCCTTGACAAACTCCTTTTGTAAGCTCACCAAATGTGCTGAGTAAAAATCCTGGTCTTCTGTTGTACAATCAATCATTTCTTCGTACAGTTTGTACCTTTGTTCTGCAAAGTACAAAAAAATACACATTCTAATTAACTTGGCTTGATTCAACGTAGACACACACACACAGCTAATTCACATAGTTCAGAAGTTTATGTATTCCCCAAAACAATGAAATTGCAATCACATAGACTTCATTATGGACTATAAACTGAAACAAGCTGCAGGGAGGCTGGCCAAAAGGAGACTGTCTCTACAGAGGGGCGTGAAGGGGTAAAATGGGAACTGGGATTTGCCCTTTTTTGGGCTGGGAAAATGGGATTTACTGCACTGGGACTGGGATGAACAATTTCAAAAATGGGAAAGGGATTTTTATTTTTAGCGCTCTCTGACCCTATTTTTGACACCACCGCTTAATTGAGCCTATTCTTTTGAATAACGAATTAAAATTCTGCATCATTAGACTTCCGTAGACACATAAAATCATTCCATTTTTCATTTCCGCGTTCTAACTACCAGGCTCCACACGGTTTTATCGTTAAGTCCTGTCAGTTTTCCTGGTCAGCGGTTTGTTGTTGATGGAATGATATGCGCATGTTTGCACGTGGCGGGAAAGACAAAAATGGCGTCCAATTACCAGACTATGATCATCGAAATCAAGTATATTAACGCAAAAAAATGCTGTAATACACACAGAAAATTTTAAACTTTCGTTAAACTTAAGCTACAGCCCAAGAGAATTACAAAAGATGATTATGGAAAAGTGTGGAGTTGAGGATTCTGCTGCAAAGAGGGGGTTTGCGGACCATGTACTGGAAATGTTTTATGTGGACAACATTGAACTTGTTATTCCTTTGGCACTCTCAGGGGATGAACTTGCTGTTTGTGCGGATGGTGTTCTTCATGTCTTTTTTTCCATCGCAGGGTGTAACAAGAATCATTAGAGGGAGTGATTGCCTACCCATATCATCACGAGCAGTGAATGTTGCTTGGTTTGGTAAAGATATTTTGTTCTGCGAAGAGCACCCGGGAAGAGCACTCCGTTGAGCTCTTTAAATCTGGGGCTGTTGCTGTGATTGCAGGACACAGTAAAGGTGATAGTGATGGTTCACAATCATACTTGAAACTGTGTCAACCAATTGGAATCTGCGTTGAATTTGATCGTAACATTTACGTTACAGACTCTGGTTCTGGCGCGGTCAAACTAATCAACAGACCGTTGACAGCGATTGCAGACTTCCTTGGAAAGTCACAAGTCCTGGTGAAGGCTTTTAACATTCATTTCAGAAAAAGCACAGTTAGAGAACCACAGAAGTCGGTTAATGAAGCGATTGCTATGGTGGATGAGGTGCTGGAGTACGTGAAGTATTGCTCACGGAAGGCGAGAGAGCTACAGTCCTTGGCAAAAGAAACCACTGATGTGCCAGAGGGTACTTTATCTAACAAGTCATTGGAACTGATGGCACAATCGCTTTGCAAGGTAGAGAACAACATCAAAGATCTGTCTTCATATCCAGATTTCGAGGTGAACTTGAATTTAGAATCACTCCTGACGTTAAATGTTGAGAACCAACATGCAGTCACTCATTTTAAGAAGGAAACATTTACTCTCTACGAATACGTACAGATTTTTGGTTCATCAGTAGAAGAAGGAGTAAAGAGAATGACACCATGGTCTGCACATTGTTACATGCATCCCAACTCATACTACCCTGTTGAACCTTCTGCTACTGGCCAGTTGGTCCTTTTTGAAACTCCCAAACCGGCCAGAGAAAGATTGTCTGGAAATGACGAAGCAGAGATGAGAGTGTGGGCAAAACGATACGGCAAGAGTGTAAGGCACACCATGGACAGAGCTGGGACACTGCCTCTGAATTTGTATGAAAGACAACATTGCTTAATCCATTAGAATTGCAGTTTTTACTTCCTCGTGCGCAAAGCTCAGTGCCGGGAGAAAGTGCAGAACGTCCAGAGGGTGAGTCTAATGAACAGTCTGTGGAGGTTCTCACCTGCACTGATCAACGTGACGAGTACAGCAGCAGCGAAAGTGGAGACAGTGAGTCTGAAGAGGATTGTGTAGATGATACAAGTGGTTTCAATATGGTTATGCCAACGAGGGCTGGAAGACAAAGACTGCTCATCAGATGAGCGAAAGATTTTCTTCAGTCCAGGTTAAGGTATGCGGTGTGTATCCAAATGACGTCAGTCCGCACTTTTAATTAATTATACACATTAGTCTGCAAGCAATCACTGGGAATGGGATTTTAGATTTGGTAACTGGGATTTGGACCAAATTTAAGCTGGGAACTGGGATTTGGCAAAAATTTGGGCTGGGAACTGGGATTTAGTGCCCCCCTTCATGACCCTCTCTACATGACTGACAAACAATGGACTCTTATTGAGGTTGGGTTAAAGGAACATTAAAATCCTATTTTACCTGGACTTTCAAGATCAGTTGCAGTAAATGTCGGCAACAAGTCAATGTCAAATTCTGGAGACAAATCCAGGCAAAGTTTGAATTTCACAGCGAAGCGCGTCTTTCGATCAAAGGTGATTTGGTCTTTCTTATAGGTGGGACTCTGTTTGAGGCATGACTCCAGGCAGTTCTTTGTTTCCTGCAACTTAACTTTGTGATCTTCCATGGTTTTCAAACTGTTGAAGAAAACCACACAGTCGATGTCTGCTTTGTCCTTGACAGCTGTTCCCTTTCCGACAGAGCCTCCCTGAATAATGTGTTGAAAGGACAAGGGATATTTATCAACAATTAGTACAGTATATCTTGAAAAAAACACAAAGGGTTGAATCAACACCAGGGCCACCACGCAAATCCAGCGGCCTAACCACTCGGCCACGCTGCCTCCCTGAAGAAATGTAAGAATTAATAAGTTTTCTATATCCTGTTTGGGATTTGGCTCGACACTACATTATGACCACTGAAAGTCCAAATAACCAAAATAACTGCAAAATTATGCTCCCACAATGCAGAAAAATGAATTTCAGAGAGCATAGTTTCTCAAAATCTTGCAGTAGAAACTCAGGATATAGAGACTAACCCTTACGTGTCTGTCGACTTAGTTTGTCCTTGAACAATCTTTAATTTGCAACATTAAATTGTCCCCTACAACCAATTTTATGCCATGCAATTTGATTTTCATTTGCTTTCTGACAAACATATTTTTGAGATTGCTGTCCTTATCATGTTTGGAACAGTTCCATCGAAATGAAGTATTAGAAGTTAGAGTAAACATGATTTTGTCTGTTTTGAAACTAACTTTATTCATGTACTTCATAAGCACGAAATATTTCGTTTTTCGTAAGACTAGCACTTCCTGTGGTAAGTGAAATTCTGCCTGACGTTCCCCTGTTTACTATGGCACTATAGTAGCAGAGATGGGATTATAGAAAAACTCATGGAAAACTGGTGATTTGTGCCGGCGAGTAAGCTAAACGCAGCACTTTTGAATCAAATGAAACTTTTTGCCTTAAGCTGAGATATTTACTGCATTGCTCCCTTTGGTAATTTTAAAGTACTTAGGACAAATAGGCCATTTTACAGTTCTGTGCTTAGTTACCTGGCCCATGGATGCAGGTGAGGCTGAAGGTGACCTGACTTTGATACAGACCTCTCTACTTTTATTATTTAATAAATGCCAACTAGTTAGCACAAGAAAAAATTGATTTACACAATAAACCAGTGAGGTCTTTATCAAAACAAGGCCACCTCCAGCCTCACTGCCATTCAGAGGCCAGGTCACTGAGCAGACAACTGTAAAATCGTCTATTTTAGAGAACTGCAGACTTGGATTCATTTGATAAAATTTGCCTTGTACAGCATAGAACAGATTTTTCTTTGCAGTGCAATCAGCCTATTCAGGAGGATAATTCGGCTTAATTGGCAAAGCAAGTTTCCAGAATTCACCGCAAGCGGTTGTGTCATTATGGCTGCGAAATACACAAATAAATTAATAAGCCAATTAATGATGCTTGAAAAAAGCATACAAACATTTAGGAGCAGTGCATGTTGGTGCATTGCGCTTTCCTCATGAACCCTAACCCTACATGCAAGTACTTCATCGAGTTGTTCAGTCTGCGCCGACCATGCAGATCAGCAAGAGATCATGAACAATTGAAAGTAGGCCAACATCTTCCCTCTATGCATATGCCAACAAACTGGTCTGCTGCTGATACGGAATAGTGTTGCTTCAGCTTGCCTTTTGTCCACTTGGAAACGACAACTATATTAGGCTTTGAAAAATCTTATATGGCAATCTAGATATCGTCAAAACACCATAGTTTTGTCTGGGTAAACACTTATTCTGCTGCCTTGCGAGGGAAATAGGGTGGGAGGGCCAGGGGATGGAGTCACATAGTCTTTGTACTTTCACTTTTTTGAAACTAAACTTTAAAATTCCACTTTTAATACCCTTTCCTCGCAGGGGACTAATTTATGAACGTTTCCTTAAATTAACATTCAATACACATTAGGCAGTGAGTTTGTTTATGCTGAATCTAGATGGCAGATTATGTTGGAGGTGTTCGTACAGTAGGTCTACAACCTCGGAAATTGCATCCCTGCTGGCCTCGTCAAGTTGGAGTTTGTCGGCAATGAAATTATTAATAGCAGAGCTGTACCTGAAGTCAACCTTTCCAAAAAACTTTTCTGAAAAAATGGAAGGAGCACACAGTTAGCCAGCTCGCTTTAATTTCGCACTGTTGGCTGTGTCGTGTGTGTGTTGTGTGTTATATGTTGCGTGATGTACTGTCTTGCAGGGTACTAAAATTCCCCCCTCCCCCACCTTCCTGCCTCATTTCCACAGGCTTGTGGAAAAGAAAAGAAAAAGTAAAGGGCATAAGCAACATATACAAAAAGCTTTCTATTCACATAACCATCAAACTATAATTAACATATGACTTTGAGTATTTCAAGTACACACAGATATACATATTTATGATATATTCATGACAGCTTAAATGCAAGGCTTAAGGAATTAAAACAAAACAGACGAAATCAATAATTTTGATGTCTTCCATCCTCAATATTAATTTATCATTCTCACTTTTACCATTTTGTTGCATGGTGTTTATATTTTGCACCGTTTGTATACAGTGTTGCATGGGTTTTGGTATGAAATGGAGAAACTGACAGTGCAGTTTTTCTCTCGTTCCAGCTCGTTTTCTCTAAAAAAGTTGGATCGACCTGAACAACAAAAACCTGTTCACTGGAACAATACATCCCTACCACAAAAGATTAAATAAGAGGTCTGGTGGCATGGGTGGCGTTCTTCTTTCACTACTCTTTGTCAGCTTCTCCACGAGAGCGAACCGCTGATTCCGAAAAAAACAAGTAATTTTAGTTGATATTTACAATGAAAGTTGTGAAGTTGCATCTTCAGCCTACAGAATTATCACTCGGTCTATATCAATTGCTCTAAAATACGCAAGTTCAAAAACCACTGCCAAAGTATGCAACAAGCTAGACAAGCTAGGCTACGTTTGATCTCCCATGTGTTAGCTGGAATTTGGCTTTCTGCAAAGTAGCTGTGTCCATGCATGTCCTAGTAAGTTGGCTTTTACAAATGACTGTGCAGCCTGTAAACAAAGGAACATCATGTGTTTTGCAAAACACCTTGCAAATAAAATGGAGATCTTGCTAATTCGTTGGGGTTTGTCCATAAAAGTTGGCTTTTTAACCCATACTAGGACGTTATGGAGGATAAAGTTGTTTGTGGGTTGAACGTGCCGAAAATTATTGTTCAATCGCATAGATAAAAGCCTTGAATCAGAGTGGCGGACATGATTTCCATACAACTCCATACTCAATTATGCATACAATCCTCTCCCTGCATAATTACCCACAAACGTACAACAATCATGAATTGCTAGGTTGCAACCAGTCTCTAGAGACTCAGATAACAATGGTACGTTAATGGAATGCAGATGGTGGTCAAAACAGTGAGAGCTAATCAGAAATTCTTTTGTTCCTGACCACCATCTCGGCGTTGATGACCTAACGTGAAACCAAGCATCACGGAAGTCGCAAACTTGCGTGCATAATAAATGTATATGGGACTGTGCGGAAATCTTGCTCTCTCGGAACACCAGAACGTTGTTCCCCAAGTTGGATGGGTTGCAAAGTTCTTGTGACACCTTTTCAATGGGCCACCAGCTTTTTTGGAAAATTTTCACGGGTTACAATAATTTATCACATTGCTTTATGCTTACCTATTAAGCTTAAGCTTTTATGACATCCGTTTCTATGATGGTTATTCAAATCATTTTGTCCTACGAACCTTGCCTGGCAAGGAGAACAGTACAGAAGACAGAGCTTCTTATGGAACTTTCTGATATGTAGACGTAACTTGCGCACTGTCTTAGAACAGTCTTCAACACAACATTCCACACGTATTCCCCGAGTTCCCGGTCCTGTGCCTCTCGCCGACATAACGCGCTGTACGTCATCTTCGATGGTACTCTCCGACATAGCTAAAACCTTGTGTTACGAAAGACTAACCAACGGCTTCGGTGCTTTCTTAATTTTGAGAGGACGTCTATGGGAATTTTCCCTAAATCATTTTGAGCCAATCAACTTTTGCTTTACGTAAACTTTCTTTTTGACCAGCCAATCATTGCCGACTTTCCTGCATATCATTTTCTGCTATTTTCAGTACGGTGGGTATTTCCCTACTAATGACGTATCCTTGCACGTTCTGACACGTTCTTTGCTTGGCTTGCAAATATTTAATTTTCCTTCCGATCTCCGAACTCGCTTCAATAAAACAGCACGACAATTCACTTCTCTTGTCTAAAAATACGGAAAATACTCGGAAAATTAAAAAGACTGTCGCTCCTGGAGAAATAAAAGTTCAAAACAAGCACGATCTTATTCAACACGCTGCCCAAGAGAAAGTTGCAACGTCGACACATTCCATTAATGACGTAATTGGTTTTTATGTATTCAATACTCGCTTCGAATCAAGCGCTTCAATAACACAAAAAGGCGATATATTTTGTACTAAATAAAGAGTAGAATATTCATAAAATTTTCAGTACATTTAACGTTTTACTCTAGTAACAGCTTTTGGCGAATAAAATCATTAGTTGCGTGATTCGAAGTCCCGCTCGTGATTTGGCCGAGTGGAAGTTTGGGTCTGGTCAAAAACATAAGCCCGCGCTCGGCCTATGACCGCCCAGAAAAATTTTTTGGGACCACTTTTCGACCGAGCTTTGTAACCGTCCACAAATGTGACGGTCGAGACCTGGCTTCCACTTCACTAAAAATGGCGGCGGGTTCAACTCTGAATGGCGCGGTGAAATATGTTTATCCAGATCGACATTTTGTGACATTTTGTAGGGGGAAAGCGAACGAATAAGTTTCACAATGGCAAGCAAACATGTGTGCCGAAGCAACAGATGTTACAGTTGTTCTAGAAACTTGAAGATACTGATGTGGTCACGAAAAAATGGTCCCAAAACATGTTGACAAAAGAGCGAGCGATATTTTGGGACCACTTTGGAGTCATGATCAGCGATTTAATTATGGAGTTAAGGTAAGAACTATCGTGTCAGAACCGAGCATTTATTTCAGTTAACTGTCCAATGCAATTAAACCTGCCAGCTGTACATGTTACTGGCGTTTAATACTAATAGATTTAATTAACAGAAATATTAAGCTCTTTTTAAATGCGGACGCATCTAGGCCCGTAATGCGTCCGTACAGCAAACCTTACATTGTGTTGAATGCTTTTGTACTTGTACCACAGTGGAGTAAATAGAAGTAATGTTCTAGGGCTGGTAGAGCAGGTATAGGCAATGATCTCAATCCTGGTCTTGTTAGTATTTGTTATGCCACCTGGTTTTTATTTTTTGAGGCATAGAAAGTGGTTAACATGCATTTGTAAAATTATGAAGATGCACGGTAACCTTTGAGAGATTGTTCTTGGCTAACATTTTCTGTTTCTCCTAGTATGCTCCCCCCTGTCTCCCACCTGCTTTATATCTTGATTACTTC